GCAGTCAGGCCTAAAACACCAGCATCATAGTATCAAGTAATATATCTATTGGGGTTACATACTAGCATTATAGGGTTCCTGAGAGAATTAAATGGGATTTCATGTAAAGGATTTAATAAATGTAAAGCTAAATATATTTTAGCTACTATTATTCTAGTATGAAGCAGAATAAACTAAACAATAAGCTTCTTAGAAGCCTGAGGGTTTTTATAACTTTGCTTTATTGAGTTTTAAACCCTGGTACTAATTTTCAAGTAGGTAGGGACTTATTTATTCTTCTTATCTCAAGGCTGACCTAATGGTCTTGAATGGCTGTGGTTTACCAACACCTGAAGGGACTCCAGGAGGTCCCAAAGATGTCTTTCGTGATGTCTACAAAGTAAACACTATTTTCATAATCATTGCAATAATAGAAATTCTAATTTTATTAATAAGAGTATAACTAATTTCATAATACTAATGATCTAATAGTATTTCCATTTTTTGCTGTGTTGACATTTGCACTGGTGGAGCCAAAGCAATGGGGGGTTACGCTATCAATTCATTAGCATGAATCGAGTGGCACTGGTGGTCGCAGTGTGTGCTGGTGGGCATGCCATCCTTCACTACTGTGTGCTTACACAAAGGAAAAAATAGAGCTGGTTTCCGTTAAGAATGTGCCTGATGATAACAGTACTTTTACTAAATCCTGGCCCTTCAGTACAAATCTTTTTAATATTCCACAAGAAGTACCCATAAAGCACTTTTGCTACATAGCTAACTATTGTACAATGGTTGTCTTGAGATATTAAAAACACTTGTACTACCGTTTAAATTATGAGCTGAACACCATTTTTACTTAAGAATGACTAACATGCCCTGACGGCTGTGGCTCAGTGGGTGGGTGTTGTTCAACAAAACAAAAGATTGCTGGTTTGATTCCCAGTCAGGGCATAGGCCTGGGCTTTGGCTCAGGCCCCCATAAGGGCATGTGGGACAGGCAACCAGTTGATGTTTCTCTTTCACATCAATGTTTCTCTCCCTCTCTCCCTCCCATTCCCCTTCTCTCTAAAAATAAAAAATGAAAAATACATTAAGAAAAAAGAATGATTGACAAACTATGGTATTCAAAGTTGAGGACTTGGGAGACATTTTCCCAAAAATAAATGAAGCAAGTCTGTCGCTTCAAGTAAAACAATGACAATATTGTTGCCAATGATAAAATTGGAGCTTTTAAGTGGAAATAAAAATTTGGAAAACACATATCTGCATCAGTGCGCTTGAGAGTTTGCCAATAAAACTTCTCTGGTGAGATCAGTGGTGACATAAATGAATGTGATTTTTAAACATATAATATAAGGACATGTGACAATATTTGGAAGACCTGCATAAATTAGTGAACTGATATTTTCAAAATGACTATTACATATTGTTACAGAATTTATCATTCATGGGTAAAATATCCATTCTAAATGAAAGACAGATCAATGGATTTCCTTGATATGGTTTTAGATTCAACATCACAATTAACCTTTAAGAAGCTATCACTTGTCGAGTTTTGGCAAAATGTCGAAGAAAAACATCCACGATGATTTCAAAAGGCTATTAAAATTTTTTTTCTTTTCCCAACAATATCTTTGTAAGGCCAGATTTTCTTTATATATTTCAATCAAAGCATCACTACATTGAGTGGAAGAGCACATATAAAAATCCAGTTTTCTACTATTAAACCAAATATTGAAGAGATTTGCAAAAATAAAAAAATGCCATTCCTCTTGTTCATTTTTTAAAATTTGGGAATATATAATGATTTTTCATTAAAACACATGATGTTAATATGTAATAGGCTTATTATAAGCATTTTTAAATGAAATAAATATTTTATCAGTTAATTTTACTTATTTATTTATTTTAAAGAAAGGAGAAGGGAGGGAGAAAGAGAGGAAGAGAAACATCGATGTGCAAGAGACACATTAATCAGCTGCCCCTTGTGAGCCCCTAACCGGGGACTTGGCCCAAAACCCAGGCATGTGCTATGACCGGGAATTGAACTGGCCACCCTTTGATTTGTAGGCTGGCACACAATTCACTGGGCCACACCAGCCAGGGCTTTATCAGTTAATTTTAATATGGTAAATATGAATATCTAAACCTACATAAACTAAAGGTTTTTGAGATCTTCAATAATTTTTAAGAGTATAAAGAGGTTCTAAGACCAAAAAGTGTAAGAAACACTATTCTAAGTAAGTCCTCCAAACTTGGGCTGCTCTCCTCTGATTATTCACAGGTAGACAGTACCTAGGGCAAACCAATACAGTAGAAAACAATCACTTCTCAGTCAGGTTAGGCAGTGGAATGTTATGAGGAAGGATCTCTTCAGGAACTAGAGTTAGCATTATGATAGTTCATTCTCACAGTAACAGGTAAGTCTAATAGAGTAGGAGCACCGAAATCAAGAAAGGCAGGCCAAAGATCTTTTTGGAAAGATGGGCTGCAAGTCTGGATCAAGGAAAAATAAATAGCTGAAACCCCATTTGATTAGGAATTCTGTTTGCTCCTGATACATGTCTCTATAAATACACTAGGAAGAACCTGTCCTTTCCTGATCAAAGAAGACAAAAGGGGCCCACAATTATGCTCAAGAGAGCATAACAGAAAGTGTCAGAACACTCCATTACTGGAATGGTACCATGGTCAACTTCCAAAATTTAGCTCTAAGATTGATGTGAGAACCCCTCTATTGTCTGTCTCCTTTCCAGTGAACAAATGAACACAGCCAGTCCTAAGGCTCAGGGCCTTTCAGATTCTCACCTTCAGTTTGAGGGTAGAAAGTGATATACATCTCTAAGTATTGGCAGGCTCTGAATTTTTTTAACTGAAAGAGAGAGAGAGAGAGAGAGAGAGAGAGAGAGAAAGAGAGAGAGAGAGGTGTCAATTAGTTGTTCCACTTCTTTGTGCATTCATTGGTTGATGCTTGTAGATTTCCTGACCACGGATCCAACCTTGGCATATGGGAAGGATACTCTAACCAACTGAGCTATCTAGCCAGGGCTAGTGGGCTCTGAATTTAATAAAAAATAAAAGGCATGAGAAACCATTTGACTCATTCCAGCCTCTTGTCCTGAAATTTCCATCTCACTGTGATGAAAAGAGTCAAAGTATGATGTGACCCAAAAATGGCTTGTCCAAGAGGAAAGGGCAAGAATAGGGACCAATTCTAGCTTTAGACAGGATAGTTTCTGAAACTAGGGGATGGAGCATCACCAACGAGGTCAGAGCAATCACCCAACCAGGCTCTTCAGTCCTTCTTTTGATCGTTGCAGAACGTGTCCCTAATACCACCTTCTATATCAACATAGGCCATGTTGGTCACAAATAACCGCTTATCTGCCTCAAGGCTTCTCATAGGGGAAGAGAGTAAAGAAGGATGATTTACCTGAACCCTGGAGTCAGCCTGCCTGTCTCTCATCCTGTTGTAACGACCTGGGCAGATGACTCCATCTCTCCAGGCCTCAGTTTTCTCCTCTGTAAAATGGTAAGAGTGACAGTGCTCACTTCATAAGATAATAGGCATAAAGCACTTAGCACCAAACTTGGCACCTACTACATGCCAAATAAACAGAAGCTATAATTCGGGACATTCTTTACTCCATGTTTTCATCTATGAGTAGTGTTTTTCATTATTTCTCAACATAATTCCTTTCTTTCAGGGCTATTTCTGAGGTTCTCGTCCCTTATATCCCTGAGTCATCATCATTAAGATGCTGGGTTTCTGGAATCATCCCTTTTTACCGTTCTCTAGGGCTCCCTCTCCTGACTGCTTAGTTCCCGTGGGGGTCCATACCCTAAATTCCGTGACTGCGAGTCTCTCTCGGGGCTTGGTCACCTGTCTTGGAGAAATGTCCCCACTCCCCTTGGAGGCCAACTAAGGGGCGACAAGACTATCACCACAGTGTGAGACACGCCCCGGCCTTTAAGTGAGACCCAAGCCGGGTCGGGGCCTTGACCCGCAGTGGGTAGGAGGCTGGGGGCGGGGCCTTGACCCGACCTAAGAAAGGCTGGGGCAGAGCACCGCTGGAGGAAAGAGGGAGGCGACACCCAAAGCAAGTGTGCTGGGGGCGGGGCCACCCTCTAAGGTGGACAGGCCCGGGGTGTGGTCTCTCAGGAAAGCCTATCGCAGCCTTAGGGATGCGCCAGCCACCTCCACAGGCGGCGCGCACAGTCGCCCAGTGCACGAGGCAGCGCAGGGGTTAAGGCCGCCGGCGCCACCTGGGCGCTGCTGAGGAGACCCACGAGCCGGCGAATCCTGCGCGGGCGCGGGGAACAGGTGCCCGCGCGCGTCGGCAAGGGGCGGGGAGAGGGGGCGCGGCCGGAAGCCCGGGGCGGGTGCGGCCTGCCCGGTGAACGGGAGGAGCCGAGGGAGGCAGGAAGGAGCTCACTGGCCTGCGCAGCGCGCGATGTGGAGCCGCCGCTTCGGCGCCTGCAGCAGCCGCCGCCGTCGCCGCTGCTGCTGGGGCTGCCGCCGAGCCGGGGGACATGGAGCGCGGCTGCAGAGAGCGGCCGCCGGCAGCAGCAGCAGGAGCGAGCGTCGAAGCGACAGCGGAGCGCAGCCTGTCCCGTGAAACGCTGCCCGGCCGGTGGCGGCAGCGGCAGCAGCAGCAGCAACAGGGCGGCTGATAACCTGCGGCGGCGGCGTTCATCCCCGAAACCTCACCTCCCGCTTCACGGCCCCTCAGTCGTTCCTTCTTCAGCCTTCCCTTTGCCACCCGCTCCTCCGCTGCGCGCCGCGAGCAGCTGAGCCAGGGGGCGGGGGAGGGGACGCGTGCCGCCCGCGTGGGGGAGGGGTGGGCCGGCGGCGCCGCGCCCAGGGCTCGCAGCGACCCGGGGGGCGCGTGCCGCGGCGAGAGGAGAGGCGAGGAGAGGCGAGGCGAAGCGCGGGGCGGTGCGGCGGAGCCCCTCCCCCCTGCAGCCTGGCGCGCGCCGGCCGGGCCGCACAGCTGCGGGCTCCGCGCACGCGGGCCATGTCCGCCTTCTGCCTGGGCTTGGCCAGCCCCGCTTCAGCACCCGCGGAGCCGGACAGCGCCTGCTGCATGGAGCTGCCCACCGCGGCCACGGACGCAGTCGGGAGTCCAGCTGCCACCGCCCTGGTCTCCTTCCCTGGAGGCCCCGGGGATCTGGAACTGGCATTAGAGGAGGAGCTGGCGCTGCTGGCGGCCGGGGAACGGCCGTCCGACGCCGGGGAGCATCCCCCAGCAGAGCCCGGGCCTTCGGCTGAGGGAGCTGAACTGCAGCCACCGCCCGCCCAGGACACCGAGCTGCTGTCGGTGATCCGGCAGAAGGAGAAAGATCTGGTGTTGGCAGCCCGGCTGGGCAAGGCGCTGCTCGAGAGGAACCAGGACATGAGCCGGCAGTACGAACAGATGCACAAGGAGCTGACAGACAAACTGGAGGTGAGGACGTCCCCCCAGGGATGGGTGACAAGTAGGGGGAGCCCAGGCACCCGCCAGGCCCCGGGCAGCCACTCACCCACTCCACTGCACTCCACCCCTTCCTTGCTCACCCCATCTCACAGAAAACCACCTGGAAGCGTAGGGGTAGGACGGAGGGTGTGGACCAGGGCACCTATTGAATACACCTGACTTTCTCACCCTGTTCCCAAGAAACAGGTCCATGCACAGCTCCAACCACTGTGGGCCATTCTATATATGTACTGTACACAGCATATAAAATAGCACTTACAGTATGACTAATTTATACAGCATTGAGGCGATGTCTGCATACAGAGAAATGAGAAAGGAGAAGCATTCCAAATATGCTGCAGGTTTTCAGAGAAGTAGCTAATCCCTAATCAGGGTGTTAGCCTAAAGCCTTCCAGTCTGGGCATTTAAGGCCTCCAGATGCCCTTGTCTTAACTTCCTGGCAGCTCAGAGTTGTGGGAAACAAGTGCCCTTAAAGGAGCTTTATATAGCCTTCGAATACTCGGGGATTAGGAAATATGGTTCCATTGCAGTCAGGCGAGCCTGGGCTCAGCATGTGACGGTTGGTAGTGGGTTTAATTTGGACCGCAGTATCTGTGTGCATTTAAACAGTACGCTTCTGTGTTCTGGGTCTCACACGTGCAATTGGATAGCCAAATATGAGAACCATATTGCTTCAACTATTGTTATAAATATCCCTTGAAGGAGCTGTAAGATTTCTGCCGTTTCTTGCCCTTAACTAGAAAAGGGTCTTGAAAGTGGTATGCAACACCAGCATTTCTAAAAATTAGATTTTAAAAGGGGAGGCATCTATGGCAGTGGAGACGAGCTTATCTTTTTCTGCCTGTGCATTTACTATTGTTACCCACTTTGGTTGCAACCAGTTTTTCTTTTTTTATTAGTTACAAGAGAATATCAGTCCTGAATAAGGTCTGAAATTGACCCTAATCTGATTCCATATCACTGGTACTGGCTGTACAGTCAGAATGTAGATTCTGAAACTTTTCTATAGTAAGATTTAAGTATGTCTGTGGTTGAACAACATATCAAAAGTAAATCAGGGAGAAAAAAGGAAACCAGTGAGTGCCCTGTAGTTCAGTTGGCCTGTTAACTAGGTCTGCCAGTCGATGAACTCCTGAGATACCTCTCTGAAAAGTGGTTTGTGAAACCTATAGGTAGACTGCCAAAAAGCAACCCAATGAATTGAATTGTTGAATTTTCACTTGAAGTAGAGGTCTACAAATAAAAGGGTGTCTTTTTTTAAAAAAGAGATTTGATTACATGGCTCTATATAGAAATACTGCTGCAGAGATTTATACTTGATTTGAAATTCCTTCATTGAGGGACTTGATTGAAGAGACAGCAAACTTGAAAGGACCATCATATCAGTCAGTTTGATTAGTGGTAGATTTCAGAGTAATCTTGAGTGTGCAATTACACACATCCTGGGTTCCATGTGGAGCCTTTATACATTTCTTCAACAAAGGAAAAAGATTTCAAAATTCGGTAACGATAAAGCTTCTACTGTAAAAGGATAAATTACTTTTGACTTTATAAAATACTTGAAAGCTCTTGAACTATTTTTTAAAAATTGCCACTCCTCTGCAGGTCAGCATATGAACTCTAGTATTAAAAGTTTATTTTAAATTTCTGGAGGTTGGTTGCACAACAATGTGAATGTACTTAACACTATTGAACTATATACTTAAAAATTAAGATGGTAAATTTTATATTACATATACTGTAGTCACTTCTTATCTGAAGAGGAGACGTTCTAAGACCCCGAGTGGATGCCTGAAACCACAGATAGTACTGAACCCTATGTCTACTATGTTTTTTTTCTATACCTGAATACCTATGGTAAAGTTTATTTTTTTTAAAGTTTTACTTTTCATGTTTCCCCCCCCCCCAAAGATTATATTTATTTATTTTTTGGGAGAGAGGGAGAGAAACATCAATGTGTGATTGTCTCTCTTGTGCCCCCCAGTGGGGACCTAGCCCGTAGCCCAGGCATGTGCCCTGAGTGGGAATCGAACCAGCAACCCTCTGGCTCGCAGGCTGGCACTCAGTCCACTGAGCCACACCAGCCAGGACCCTGTGATAAAGTTTAAATTATAAATTAGGCACAGTAAGAGATTGACAACAACTTATAACAAAACAATAATTGAGCCGAGAACTGTCACCTTTTTACTTACAGTAAACACTTTACATCTTCTCTGGCAAATCCAATTTGCCAGCATCACTACTCTTGAGCTTTGTGCCATTATAAGTAAAAGAAGGGTTACCTGAACACAAGCACTGCAATACCGAGACAGTCAGCCTGATAACCCAGAGGGCTACTAAGTGACTAACTGGCAGGCAGTGCATGTGCTGGACAATGGGATGATTCACTTCCCGGGCAGGACAGCGTGGGAGGGGGAACGATGCGTCGTGCTACTCAGATGAGCGCAAAATTTAAAACTTGTGAATTGTTTATTTCTGGAATTTTCCACTTAATATTTTTGGACCAAAGTTGACTGTGGATGATTGAAACTGTGGAAAGCAAAACCGCAGATACGGGGAGAGTGCTGTACTTTACCACAATTTTAAAAATAACATTTTTAAAAGTTTATTTTTAAAAGGCCAAATAACGAGCATTATGGAAGCTGAGTGATAGAGAGTTCAGTTATATTATTTCTTCTAGGTATGTTTAAAAATTATAAAAAATGTTTAGTTTTTTAAAAACACATTTAAAAATATAAAGATATTGTCATTGAGTTCCTTGTTAATTCTTTAAGTGTTAATATGAGAGTAACAAACCTGATTAACAGGGACCTGTTTCATTTGATACCTGCAAGTGAATTTTCCCTACCGTATATTTTGTAGGCAGCCTAGATTTTGGAATGTCTGCTTAGACAAAATACTTTCTAAAGTTTAGTGTAGCCAGTCTGCTATAATTTAAATTAAATTAAACATTTAGAGGTAGAGAACCAAATGCTTTTTTTGTTTCTTAAAAAGCATTTGTAATTTTCCACAAACTGCCACAGAGTGGAGTCATGTTTTCTCACAGGTTGATTTGAAAGAAAAACAGTAGATTCTGAGAGAATGGTAGTTTGACTGTTAAATAATGAGACTGGTTTTGTTTTAGTCCCATCTGCTTCTTTACTACTTCAAAATTAGCAACTTTGTAACTTCAGGACCACTTTCAAGATCTTTTCTACCTATTCATTAGTTCATATTGAATACCTCTCCAGTCCTATGTACCAAATCCAAGATACTGTTTTGTCATTTAAAACAAAGTACTTGATTTTGCGCTTCTCTCTTATTAAAGGCACACTCTTTAAAGTTTTTAATGGTTTAAAAGTTAACAGATAACTTTTACCTATATATCTCTTAGGGATGAGTATTCAATTTAATTTGAAAGACTGTAAGGTTTTGGTCATTTTTTTCCATCCTTAAATTAACTATCCTGTATTTTATTCATTCAATGCATCAGATTTTCATATGCTTAAAGTGCTAAAGGCATTTAAAAAATTTATTTCCTTGCATCTACAATTAGCCATTTGCTTTTAAAAACATAGCCATCCAGGTCCTTAGGAGTTTTTTCCCCCCAAATATGAAATATGATAGTCACTTGCATTTGTACACTTTTTTCTTCAGAGATTAAATATTTTGCTTTTTAATAGGATCCCTTCTTTTTTCATTCCAGTTGAGAATAAATTACCTCTTACTACATAGGTGGTCTTTCCCCTCAAACACGTTCTCTTCCTCCTCCCCTAGGGCCAGCCTCATGATTCTAGTACTCTTTTTTTAAGGGGACAAAACAAGTAAAATGAAAATGATTACTTAATGGGAGTCAGTGGTAGATTTAGGGAAGCAAACCTAGGAGTCCTTATTTGCATTCAGTGCCTGGTCCACTTAAAAAAAAAAACAAAAAACAAAGTATCTTGCCCTGACTGGTGTGGTTCGGTGCACTGAGCACGGGCCTGCAAACCAAAGTGTCACAGGTTCAATTCCCAGTCAGGGCACATGCCTGGGATGTGGGCCAGGTCCCCAGTTGGGGGTGTGCAAGAGGCAACCACACATCGATGATTCTTTCCCTTTCTTCCTCCCTTCCCCTCTCTCTAAATAAGTAAATAAATAAAACCTTTTTAAAAAATAGTATTTTTTTTTCTGCCCTGGCTTGTGTGGCTCAGTGGATTGTGCGTCCACCTGCGAACAAAAGACTGGCTCGCTGGTTCGACTCCCAGTGTTAGACCCACACCTGGGTCACTGCCGGGTCCCCCACGGGAGGCGCACGAAATGCAGCCACACACTGATGTTTCTCTTCTTCTCCCTCCCTTACCCTCTCTAAAAATAAATAAATAAATCTTTTTTAAAAAATAGTATTTTTTTCTTTGTATTCTTCAAGAACCATATCCTAGACTTATGAGAATGGTGTTGCCTTTTCAGTCCTTTACAGAAATCCATTTCTGTAACAACCAATTGCAGGTAGGCTAATGATACTAGCTTTTGTTTCTTCAGAGTTTTAAATAAACTTTATTTTTATTTTGGAATGGTTGTAGAGTTTCAGAAAAATTGGAAAGATGGGACAGAGAGTTCCCATGTGCCTTGCATCCAGTTTTCTCTGTTATTAACATCTTACATTAGTGTGATACACTTGCTTTAATTAAGAAGTGAATACTGATATGTTAGTATCAACTAAGTCCTTAGTTTATTCAGATTTCCTTAGCCTTTACCTAATGTCTTTTTCTCTTCCAGGGTTCCATCCAGGATACCACAGTACATTTATTGATAGTTTTCATACCTACTTAATCTCTCCTTTGCTATGGTACTTTCTTTGACTTGTTTTTGGTCACCTTCATAGTTTTAATACTAACTTTTTTCCTCTTTTTCTCTCTATTGAAGTATAACTGACATGATATTAGTTTCAGGTATAAATACTAACTTTCACAATACCACACAGGCCCAAGAAACAAAGAAGAACATACGCAGAGCCTCCTGACCTCCACACTTTCTGAGAATTCTGCCTAGAGTTTACTGGTTAATGTAGCATTTAATTGGAAATATAATTCTAGGAGAAACCTTCCTTTTTTTCAGGGTAGATAAAAGGCTAAAGTCTGTATGTTTATTAATAGGAAGGTCTTGATTTTTTTTTTCCAAGTGTCGGGAAGCCTGAATTAAGAAGTTTGTCACATGTCCAAAGAAAGAGAAGGACAGAATAGATTGATCAGCACCACCTGTCCTCAACCCCTCCTCCCAAGTGGATTGGATTGTTTTAGTTGCTTGGTTGGGCTGTTCACTAACAGCTGTTTGCTGAGTATTTTTAAGTCTCTGTGTTCTTTTAGAACACGAGCCTAATTTATCTGGCCTCTCAGTAACACTGTGATTACTGAGTTCTTGCTGTTGCCTTCTGCTCAATATTTTTCATTTTGGAAAAGCTCAATAAAACCAAGAATCACAATTTTAGGTTTGCAATTAGCATTTCTTTCTGAATTTCATCTTTCTGAAGTGTCTACAGTGACTAAAACATTCTCATTTTGGAAGTTTAGCAGTATGAGGGAAACTTTGCTAGAGCAGAAAATTCTCATGCTGATGAGTAGAAGTCCCTCGTCACACGTGCTCCAAACTGAGGCTGTATAAGGTATAACTATAATGTGACATTTTCAACAAGCATCCTAGAGCAGCTGTGTCCAAATGAGTTACTCACTAAAAGTGGTCAACCTGGGAGGATGTACATTTATTTCAATATTTATTATCTTTGTTAACGTGCTCAGAATTTTAATTTTGGATCACTGTTTTTGTATTTTGGCATATTATTTGGACTGTTCTGCCATGGTAAATTTTCATTTTGGGGGGTAAATTCAACTTTCAAGAACATTCCCAACTCAACCAGAGCCAAGTAAGGGGAATAGATGCCAGAATGAAATGAGATCATCTCTTTTTTAGACACATCTCAGATGTGAAGTAATGGGACTGATTTTCTTATAATACACGGACCCTTAAAAGCATTCTAAAAGCAGCATTCCAAAAAGTATCTGAAAAGTGAGCTCTTGGAGAGACGAAGAGCATAGCTTCCCAAGGTGAAGAGATGATTGAGTGCTCAGAAGGAGAAGGTTCTTACGCTTCTCTTACCCTGTGGAAGTGATTTCATGCTTGATACCAGCCTTCAGTGCATCGGGATTTCCTGTAGAACTTGGATAGATGGATGGATGCCTAGGCCTCATCCCATTCTTAACTTAATCACAGTCTTTGGAATTGGGTTTCAGGTTGGTATATTTTGGACAGTTATACCAGAGCTTCTCTGAGAGCACCAAAATTGAGGACCATTAGTTTAACTTATATTTCATATATTCCTTTAAGTGTATACTTGGCTTTTTTGTACATACTGTGCTTTTAAGTAGGAGAACATACTTGCCTCTGAAAAGAGGCATTCGTATTTATCTCACAGGAACAAAAAGATGTTCTTATTTTCTTCAGTCCAAAAGAATCCTCTTCTATTGAGCTGCTACTTCAAAACATTTGTACTTTTCCTGTGTTCCATTTGTCACATACAAGTTAATACTTCAATCAACCTCTTCCAGTAGAATAAAAACTCTATACAGGCAAGGATTGCGTCTGGTTTTTGGGGGGGTTTTTTTCATCATTATGTCACCAGCACAGTGGCTGGCCCATAGTAGCCACTCAAGAATGAATGAATGGATCATAAATAAATACTCAAGGCTAATAGGCCATGATTTAAAGTAGGCCTGAACCTGAACCTGCCTTAACGATTTTGAAATACAATGCTATATATAGCAACAAATATTTACTGAGTTGTGATTTAGAGCACTAAAAAGAGTCAAGTAACCTAGACACATCCCAGCTCTTTTATTTCCTGGTATTGATCTTGAGCTTGTTACTTAACCCCTTCTGTTGCCTTGTTTATAAGAAAAGATAGTTAATCTGAAGGATCTCTGGAGTTCTTTCTGTCTCTGAAAATTCTGTGATTCCAAGTGCCTGGTATTATGCCACGCATAATAGAAGATTTCAACAGAAGACTTCTTAACGAGTCATTTTAAGTTGTTTAAATATATAGTTCATCAATTAATTAGATGACAATAAATTTCCAGTGAATTTGTAAGTCTAGGAATACCCAAGGAATGCCCCATGCCCAAGGACAAGAATAAACATAATATGAAGTATTTTTCTATAGGAACAGCAATCTCTTTATGAAACCAGCTCCTTTTCTACTCTGGAAGAAGGGAATATTATCGTATCTGTAAAATGGACAACTTTTCCTAAGTGGCAGTGTTTTGTTGTGATGACTGGGAAAAAGAAAAATGAGGAGTGCAAAGAGAAAAAAAAGAAAGGCTGTGGAATTTTTAAGTTTTTAAATCCTCTTCACCTTTCACACAGCACTTAGAACAAGAGAAGCATGAATTGAGAAGACGATTTGAGAACCGAGAAGGAGAGTGGGAAGGGCGTGTGTCAGAGCTGGAGAGTGACGTGAAACAGCTTCAGGATGAGTTGGAGAGGCAGCAAGTCCATCTACGGGAGGCAGATCGAGAAAAAACACGAGCTGTCCAGGAATTATCTGAACAGAACCAAAGGTTATTGGATCAACTCAGCAGGGTGAGTCATAAATTAAGAACTTATAAAATGCTAAGGGTTGAAACAGAGCTTCTATATAATATCAATCATATATATAGTAAGGGTAATTTTAATCTTTGTTGTTTTTGATGATATATCAACAAGTTAAGTATTTTTCATCCACAAGGACTTCAGCTGTGCCAAACTACAAGTCAGAAGGGTAATGACCCTTACCTGTCATTAGCCAGCTATAAGGCTTGAATAATCACTTAACTTGGGAGTTTTTGCCTTTTTAAAATGAAAGATTTCCGACACTCCTTGTAGCTCTGAAACTCTGATTTGTTTACCTAGAGAAAGTCTGTCACCGATAAATTATGTTAATGCATTTAGTTCAAATATTGAAGTGGTACCGTCTATAAACTGAAAAGCTTAGGGAAAACTAGAGCAAATGATTTTTATTGATATTACATTTGTGAATGTACATTACTTTGTATTATTTAAATATTAAAGGAGGTATATGTATTTAAAATGTGTTCTCCGTATTTCCACATTAAGTAAAAATTCTTTACTTGTACCTTTATAGGGTGGTGTCATGAAAGTATTAATTAACCAAGGTCAAGACTGTAAATCATTGCAAAGAAAGAGTTTGAGGGCTGAATAGGTGGAAATCTAATTTAAATACAGAACTTAGCTTTTTAACAAATGCAAGAATGTTGTTAATGCCTTGGTCTCTAAATCTACTCACTTTTGGGTTAAGAGCTGGATTGTACCTCAACCCTTCTTGTGTGTTGAAGATAAAACTAACTCTTCAGTTACCAGAGGAGAAAAGAGCTTCTACTCTGATCTCATCCCTAAGCATCAGTATTCTCATGAGAGCACTGGTCTTGTCTGCATGGTTAGTATTTGGTGCCTGGGTCTTTGGGAAAGCCTTAATGAGAGCAGCATATGGTAAATTCTTGATGCTTACACAGATTTGATGGTTTACACTACATGAAGTTATTTCACCAGTCTGTGTCATAGCTGCTCCCTATGGGTACTCTGAGGCTGGTTCAAGCCTTTGGGCCTCACAAGGAAGTATGAAGTAAATGCCACTACTAGAGAAAGGGAGAGAATGGAAGGGGGGCAGGGAGAGAAGGTGGGGGGGGGAGGGAGGGAAAAGGGGAGGAAGAAAAGGAGAGAGAAAAATAACATTCATATCAGAATGTATATGGAGTGAGAATTCAAGTGATAGATCTGAAGATCTTACCTTCAGGTTTCCTGTCTAGGGAATCAAAGCACCATTTGATTGGCTGGGGAGGAAGAGTTGGACAGTTTTCCAGGAAGTCATTTACAGGGCCAGCTCAGTCACGGCATTCCTGACTCAGTTCTAAAACCATTTTTAGTACCTGGGAAGGGAGTCTCTGACCCTGTAAAACTGTATAGGTTTTTGAGTCTTCACTCCTTATTCAAGAAAGATTAAACTGACCAGATAGGCCTGGCCACATTAATTTATTTGTTCAAAATATTTATTTCATACTTATTCTGAACAAGTGTTTCTTATGGAGACTTAAGAAAGGAATACAATAAACCAGAAAATTAAAGAGGATATCATTTCTTGATGGCTAAGTTCGTGTTATAAAAGAACTCTGCTTTCTGACCTGGTGAAAGATAAGTGGCCGAGAGAGGTGAAGGCAGAGAGCAAACAGGAGCATGACACAGCGAAAGAACCAAGAGCTGGGAACTTAGATGCATGTTGAATCTTGACTCTGCTTCTCGTTAGCTGGGTGACCTTGTTTGTGCCTCACGTTCCTTGTCATTAAAATGGGGTTAAAAATTTGTACCTCATGCAAGTACTATTGACATGAAAGTAAGATAATGTGTTTGTGTCAAGCAGTATATTGAAGATAAGAATTTGTTTCAGTGTTGATGGTTATTTTGCTTAAGCAGTGTCTTTATAGTTGAGGTGCTTTAGCCTAATTTCTCTGTAAAAAATCCTGATAAGCTGCTCCTGAAAGAATATAGGAAGATAGCAGTTCCACTAGATCTAGATTCTTTTCCTCCTCTCTGGCCTTGAATGTAGGCCCTTGATGAGTTTAGTGGCTTTTTTTCCTCTTTCTCTTTTTAAGCAGGCCAATTCCCTGGTGTTGCCATCAGCAGCGAGTTTAGATTGCATTATATTTTAATTTTATTAACTGGGTATTCAGGAACTTGAGGAGTTGAGTGGTACTTTGAAGTGAATTAAGATTCTCCTAGGACAAGAAAACAACCAGCAGAAGTAATAGAAGGCCATGATCTCCTTAAAGTGTATTTAATGTGTTTTTATAAGCATGAAATGTGTAATATCTAAAATGTAGTACAATATTTCTATCGTGCTTTTGTATAAAGTATTTTTAAATGCATTTCCCTTTCTGCCATGGTTTCCAAGTTTCTTTTTTTGAGGGGTGGAGTCTTACAAAATATTTATATATTTATGTAATAATAGTTCTGTTGAGATATAATTCACATGCCATGACATTTACTTTTTTAAAGTGTATAGTTTAGTGGTTTTTTAGTATGTTTACAGAGTTGTGCTCGCTATTATCTAATCATAGAATAGTTTACCTCTTCCCCAAAAAACCCTGTACCTATCAGCAGCCACTCCCCCATTTCCACTAACCCTCTACCCCATGCCCTGACAACCACTAATCTACTCTCTCTCTATGGATTTGCCTATTCTGGACATTTCATAGAATTGGAATCATACGTACGTGATCCTTTGTGACTGGCTTCTTTCCCTTAGCATAGTGTTTCCATGGTTCATCCACACTGGAGCATGTATTAGTGCTTCATTTATTTCTATGGCTAAAGAATACTCCATTGTGTGGATACAACACATTTTGTTTATCTTTTCATTAGTTGATGGACATTTGGGTTGTTTTTACTTTTTGGCTGCCATAAACATTCATGAACAATTTTTTGTGTGACCAAGGTTCTTTTCAACTCTAAAATAGGGTGCTGTGAGCATATGTATCCCATGAGCTTTTGTATCCTCATTATGGTGAAGGAAGGGATAGGTATTGTTCTAATTTTGTAGTTGGGAAAACTTTGGGGACAGAAAGATACGTGATTTGATTAAGGATCTTCCAATTTAAGATTGATTAGAGTTCCTGGCCTCAGTTTCAAATTTCTGAGGCAGCAATTAAGATCGTAGGCTTTGGAGCCAGACAGCACAGGGACCAAACACAGACTCTGCTATTTACTAGCTGGATGAACATGGAAAAGTTTTTCTTAACCTTTTTTAACCTTAGTCCTTTTTCCGTATAATGGAACAATTGTATTATTACTAGTACCTTATAGTAAAAAAAAAAAGAAGAAGAAGAAGATCAGTGTCATGAGGACTATCATATCAGTGTTGCAATAGTGTTATGAGGACTAAGTGACATAATGTATATACGGCTCTGATCACGTTATCTAGCATATCATAAGTGCTCAATAAATGGTAGCTGTCATTATAATTATCATGTCCTCATCATGTAGATGGGATTTCTGATTTGTTAAACATTGATTCTCTAACTTGAGAGTGGAAGAATCTGAAATGTCCCTAATATATATCAGTGTATAAAAATGTTTCATTTAGTAGTTAAGGCTCTATACAAAAATATTTGTGTAAAATTGATTCTCCTAGGAGTTGGGATTATTCTGTTGCACCTCATATCCCCTGGACATGGCTGCATATATACTAGGGATACCTTTATCCCAGTTTATTTTCTCATTTGGACAAAATGCCCTCTAAACTCTATCCTAGCTTCTAAGATTGTGAGTCTTGTTTTATGAAACTAGGACTGACATATTGGGAGAAAGAATAATTTGCTTTCTGAGTTAGAAAGTAATACCACGATCGCATTGGCAGTGGGGTTCAGTGGGACATGTCAGACATTTATTACCCTGACTATATCCGAAGTGGAAAGAATACCACAGGCCTTGCTTTCAGAAAGAGAAGAGGGGAGGCATGGCCATGGTCGCTGTGTAAGGAGGGTACACACACACACACACACACACACACACACACACACCATAAATGTGCACAATTTTTCTATTTATTTTTGTTGTTTTCATTTTAAACAAAATGATTTTGTTTTTCATGTACTATATCTTAGATCAGTTTTATATGTTTAATGGTTTATATAGTATTCCATGTACATACAGATGTACCATAGTTAGCATAGCCATTTCCTATTGAAGAGCATGTGCATGGGTTACAGTGTTTCAGTATTATAATCACTGCTGCAATAAACATGCTTGTTCATACATATTTGCATTTTTACATTAGCATTTCTCTAGGATGGATACCTAGAAGTAGGCTGTCCAGGTCAAAAGGTTTGTACATTTAAACTTTTAATAGATATTATATTTCCTCTCCAAAATATTTTAATAGTCTGTACTCTCCCTAACATTTACCTTTAATTGAAGCTGAGAAACCCGTCTTTCTGCATGCATAAGTATTAAAGCTATAAAGAAAACTGAAGTGATTCGATCACAAAAGTCAGGGTGAGGGTGGTTGCCTGAGGAATGTGCCTGGGGGCGGTGTGTATCATCATGCAGTGGTGTTTGGGGAGGGGGGTTTGGGATGTTTTCCTCCTTGACCATGCTGGTGATTACATGGATATTTGCATTACAATTATTTGTTAAACAGTATGTTTATGTTGTACCTGTTTGTATTTATGTATGTTATATTTTGCAATAAAAAAGAGAAGATCAATCATTTATTAAACAAATATGTGCACCTACGGTGTATGAAGTCACCGTTCTGGGTAATAGAAATACTGCAGTGAACAATATAAATTCCCTGTCCTAAAATAATTGCGGAGGTTTGACAGTAAAGAAGGAACTGTATAAATAATATATATCAAGTAGTGATATGTTATGAATAAAATAAAGCCAGGTAACAGGGGAAAAGTGGTAGCTGAAGAGATGTGATTTTTTTTTAATTGAATCTTTTTTTTAATCTTCACCTGAGGATATGTTTTTATTGATTTTAGGAGGTAGAGAGAAACATCCATCGGTTGCCCCCTTTATGCACCCCG